AATGACCTGATTTTCCACATTTGTAACAATTCCCCACAGGTTTTTTTTTCCCCCTTTCTGAATTGCTTCCAATCTTGAGGTATCATGGTATAGCCAGTCTTAATTCCTTCCAAAAGACCTCTAGTAAAATTTCCAGTAATTCCATAATCAGAAATAGCCTTCTTCAACTCCCTTAAAATTTGAAATGGCAAACCTTCCCATTCTGCAATCTGTTGTCCAGCCTGTGGTCCTGGTTGATACTGCACTGGACATACACACAACAATTCAGCTAACTCTTCTCCAGAAATAGTACCATCTGTCTTACAATTTTCCACCATCTTTTGAAAAGAAGACTTTGGAACAATAATAGAAGAAGGAGGGGGAATAGGAGGAATAGAAGAAGGAGGGGGAAGAGGAGGCGGCTTTAATACAATGTCAGAAGGAGCAGAAGGTATTATTACAGCCTTAGCCTTAAGATCAGAAGACAAAATTTCTTTTTCAGACAGCGGAGGATAGATCACAGTAGAAGGAGGTTGAGAGGGAGGTGTTAAAATAGAAACAGAGTCTTCTTTCTGACCAAACATTTCTATAACATAACAACATAAATGCCAGGCATGTAAAATATCTATCTCTTTCTTCGGCTCAGAATGCAAAACCCTGCCAATTTTTTCCCAATCTGACAACTTCAAAGAACCCCTTTCAGGGTAGAAAGAACAAGTTAAAGCAATTTCTCATACCAGCTGAAAAAGAGCTTTTTGTAAAACAGATAATTCAGACTTCTTAAGAAGATAACGCAATTCATTAACATGCTTCCTTTGTTCCTGAGAAAGTGAGGATCCCATACTTACAGAAATGTTATAAGATAAGATTGAGGAGCCCTAGGGCTGACGACGCGTCTGTCCTTGCCGGACGAAATATGGGTTCCTGTTCGGGCACCAAAATGTTGCATTAGGGTCCTGAGGCTGAAGATGAATGAAAGTAATCCAATCCACGGATAGCTGAACCAACAGAAGTTTATTGAGCATCCAAAATCAACAACAGAATCAACAGCATTAAGCATTCCATGGATAGCAGAATCAACAGCAACTTATTAATCATAAGACATCATTTTTATAGCATTTGCAGCTTCTTAGTTCTCACCTACCTTACGTGTTATTTCATTATTGGTTAACAAGTCTCCAAGGCACGATAATTGGTTAGTCATTACATTCTTGGTGAGAGTGTGCATGTTCTCACACACTAATTGAATCAAATGTTATACATTCAAATGAGTAAATGTTACAGGTTATACTTTGTATCATCCTGTGTCCTTGTTCATGCCTGGGAACACTGAAACAGCAAAGAATTGCTGACAGTTTGCAAACACGTGTCACCACAGTTCTAAGAAGCATCCAGATGATTTACTGTAATAACCCTACAACCAACCTGGTAATAGAAGGGGAAGACATATATGCTGTCAGGCCAGGGTTTGACTTTGGTATCTGAAATCAACTAAGTTCTTTCATGCAATATTCTTCTGAAGCAGAAAGGGATATTGCTGAGTAGGTTACTCTTTGATGGCTTATGATGTGGCTTCATGTAACACTTTCCACTGCCAAATAGCTAGAAGTTGGATGTGCAAAATGGGGAAATATATGCTAATAGCTTCAGTTGAATCTATGTGCCGATTACATTAGATACATTAGTGCATAAATGGAATATTACATGAGTAACTGAAAATCTATTTCCACACCAATTTAGAAATCTTCATTGGTATTACGTTATCATTGAGGCCATTATCTACTTCATTTTTCACCAGATTTGTAATTTATATACCTTTGGCATTTTATTGTATTTGGATGATGATTTTGGCACTTAGGTGTGTAAGTTAAATAGTCATGTGGGAAGAGAAGTTTATGGTTTGAATTCACAACTTTGTACTGAATACT